GCTGGGGATTGAACTCGTGTTTCGTGGCTTCTGAGAGCTTCACAGTGCAGTGCTTTAACCCACTGCGCCACCAGGAAGGGCCCTTGTTATCCTTTAATAAGTGTGATTATTTCAATCTAGCACCTTCTTCCATGAAAAAAGTGGCTTAATTTGCGAGCTTCACTGAGGAGCCAAAGGTCAGGCCCTTCTCCTGGGCTCCTGACCCCCGTGGCTCGGCACAGGGCGCTGTCAGGAGAGGCACTGTCCAAGTGGCCGTGGGGCTGCACCCTCTGCCCAGGGCCCTTCCAGGCCCAGGCGCTGGACGCTGAGCCGCTGCCACTTCAGACAGGCACCTCTGTCCGTGCCGACCAGGCCGCCCTGCGGACGCCTCCCAGTTCTGGAGCAGACTTCCCAGGCCAGGAAGCAGAGCTGAAGTTATTGTTGGAGGGGGGAGGCAGGGGCTGTTCTTAGTCTGTGTTCAGCTTGTTCTTTAGAAAATCAGTCTCGCTCCCAGACACCGACAGCAGTTGTGTCCCAGGCCCCTTCAGCGTGACGGCGCCTACCTTTACCCTCCGAGTAGGGGAAGTCGTGAGCACCTCTCAATGAAGGTAACACTGGAGGGAACACAGCAGATCCTTAATACCTGACTCACGAACAGTCCACGTCTTTCGTGATGCTCATGCTAGCCACATTGTGTAGCTTTCCTGGATAAGGTCAACGGACTCGGGGTCTGGAAGCTTCCTCGTATACCACTGTCTCCAGCATGGGGGAACATTTTGCACTTGGCTTGATAGCATATTTCAGTTCTAGCTGCATCTGAAAACAAATAATCTCTTTGGGTCTTTGTTTACTATTCTACATTGTGATTTAAAAAAAGCATGTAAAGTTTGCTGTTTTAACTGTTGTCAGACGTACAGCAGGAACGCTAAGTATATTCAAGTTGTCCTGAAACCAATCTCCAGAACGTTCTCATCTTGCAAATGCAAAACTCTGCTTCCCCATGTATTGCTCCCCCAGCCCTAAGAAGCCACAATTCTGTGTTCTGTTTCTATGGATTTGTCTATTCAAGACTCTTGTAAGTGGAGTCGGTGTCTCTTTTGTGACTTGCTACTTAGTGTACTGGCCTCTAGGTTCATCCATGTGGCCTGTAACTGAGATTTGTTTGGTGGGGCTGAGATTTCCTCTTTATGGAAGTAGGGAGACTGAAATAATTACTTAAAAGATAATGAGAGCTCTCCCTGGTGGCACAGTGGGTTAAAGCACTGCACTACGAAGCTCTTAGAAGCCACTGCAGCACAAGTTCAATCCCCAGCCAGGGAGCTGACCCACAGGGCGCAGCAGACCTCTCATGATCTGCCCACTGCTCCCCTCAGCAGTGTGTTTCAGTAGCTCTGCTGCTCCGAACAGGGATGCACAGCTCTCTGTGACCCGCGTAGAAGTCTTAAGGTACATGCCCACAGGTGGGAATGCTGGACAAGTGGGAAATGTGTTGTCAATAATTCCATATTGTTTTCTACAGCACTTGCACCTTCTTCATTTCCATGAAGAGCTCCCAAAGTTGCAATTTCTTCATGTCCTTACCAGCACTTGTTGTTTCTGTTTGTTTTGCCCTGATGGCGGCCATCCTGGAGGGTGAGAGGTGGCATCTCACTGTGGGCTTGGTTTGTGTGTCTCTGATGTCTGGAGCCCATTTAAAAAAAAAAATCACTTTTTGGGAAAGATTTATTTATGTATACAAGAACTGGGGTACAGGTCAGAGGTGCAGGGGGTGAGAGGAATCACCAGAGACAGAGTGGGGGGCAGAACAAGCTGATCTACTGAGATACACTGCTGAGGGGAGCAGCAGGGAGACAGGAGAGGTCTGCTGCGCCCTGCGGGTCAGTCCCTGGCTGGCCGGGAATTGAACTCGTGCTGCAGCGGCTGCTATAACTTGATAGTGCTGTGTTTAGTCCCTGTGCCACCAGCGATGCCCCTTGAGCCCATTTTGATAGACCTTGAAAGATCTGGAAACTTCCTGTTTGGCTTAAGCATGTCTGTTCTGCTTATCCCCACATAGCTGGGCCCCACCCTGAAAAGCTTCCCAGTTAGAAGTACCCGGAGCGGGGCTCAGCATGCCAGTGGGGCTCAGCAGATGGGGCATTTGCCTAGGCACAGTCTTGCAGAAGAGAGTGTGTATGATCTTAGATATTCTTTTTTTTTTTTTTAAAGATGTATTTATTTATGCATACAAGAACTGGGGTACAGACCAGAAGTGCAGGGAGTAAGAGTTCTCACCAGAGACAGAGTGGGGAGCAGAATAGGGGGATCGACTGAAATACACTGCTGAGGGGGGCAGCAGGGAGACAGGAGAGGTCTGCTGCGCCCTGTGGGTCACTCCCAGGGATTGAACTCGTGCTGCGGTGGCTGTGGACAGCCTCGTAGCACTGTGCTTTAACCTGTTGTGCCACCAGGGAGGCCCTGACCTTGGAGATTCTGCCTGTGGTCACAGATTATACATTTTAAGACTGTTACTGTCATGTGACCATTGAACTCTTCATTGCTTTAAATGCAGATACTATTTTAAACTATTTCCAGGAACAGGAAATGAATCATAATTTAGGATGGATGACAGATGTGGTAATAACGACACAGTAAGATTTATCACCCAGGTCTACTGCGAAGACGACGCCCAGCCTCAGAGCGCCTCAGGGTCTGCGCCTCCTTCACGCCCTCCTTGGTCTGGGGGGGCCGCCCCTTCGGGGATGCCTCCCCCACAGGGGCCGCAGGGGTTGCTGGGGCTCTGCAGCAGGCTCCAGAGGACAGTAGCTGCG